AACATAGTGAAAGCATGTACTGCTCTTTTAGAGGATAGGACGTGGATTCCTAGCACCCACATTAGGAAGGCAGCTCAAAACTGCCTGTAACTCCGACTCCAGGGTATCCAGTCTTTTGCCCTCAGCAAGGGACCTGCATCCACACACAAACACAGTCCTTAAAAATAATAAACCCCAGTTCTCAGGAAATAGAATCAGGTGGGTTTCTGTGATTTCCAGGCCTTGCGTGGTATGACCTTGTCTCAAAACAAAATCCCAATAGGGTCTTACCATATAGTTCTGGCAGGCAATCAATAATAATAGCAATAACCTCTATTCTTTGGGAGTCTAAGGCATTAGAGAGATTTAAAGAAGTATAGGAGCAGGGCATGGTGGTGTACACCTTTAATCCCAGCACACAGGAGATAGAGGCAAGTAAGTTGATCTCTGTGAGTTTGAGGTCAACCTGGTCAACAGAATGAGTTCAGGACAGCCAGGGCGGTTACACAGAGAAACCCTGTTTCAAAAGAAATAAATTGTAGGAGAAAAGTATAATGGCATTAAACATTTTTGTAATGGTAAATTCTAATTCCACAATATTTTGCCAATATCAAGAACCCGTGCTGACTAGATGAGGAAATTCTTAGTAATTTAGCCTCTGGTAAGGTGTTGATGCTCCTGTAAACAGCTCTGATGAATTCACTGAATCCTTTAAAAAAGGAAAGGACAGTTGGGAAGAGGACAGGAGTCAGCAGGCATATTGGGACAGGGTACCAAATAAGTGTGGTCATATATTGCATGCCTGTAGGAAAATGTGATGGAACATCGTGATCATTAGAACATACTAAATGGGACAGAAAATACACTTTGAATTGGACTCAGTGACTCGTACTTGGAATCCAAGTACTCCAGTTTTAGATTGATGTACATGTCATACAGCATAGGCATCTCTGATGCATACAGGCCCAGATAGATACACATGTGTTTGGATAGAGTCCTCCCCCACCCAGTGCTAGGGATGGGCCCCAAAGCCTCATGTGTGCTAGGCTGACATCTAGTGGTGTCCTCAGCCATAACTGAGCTATGCTATAGATCTATAACAGCCATGATCTCTTAAATTTTAAATTATGCGTGTGGGTAAGTGTACGTGAGTACAGGTTCCCGTGGAGACCAGAAGCTTCAGATGTCCCTGGATCTGGAGTTACAGGAAGTTATGAGTAGCCCAACGTGAATGCTGGGAGCCAAACTTGGGTCCTCTGCAGTAGCAGCACGTGCTGTCAACGTCTCTACTATCTCTTCCCCTCACCTCACCTTACCTGCCCCCCACACACACCCCTTGGTTCCCTTTATACACCCAGAGTCTCTACTATCTCTTCCCCTCACCTTACCTTACCTGTCCCCCCCCACACACACCCCTTGGTTCCCTTTATACACCCGGAGGGCCAGAAAGTGATAGGACTGTTGGATAGGTGGCAGAAGTCAAGCTTCTTTATGTCTCGGGCTTTCCAGACCTTCCCTAAGACGGTTGTACTCTTCCCCTTCCTTTATCAGATAGGAGGGTAGGGCTCTCCAGATCTGGACAGGACATGTTTAGCATTACAATATGCAGCAGTGGAGCTGTTAGATACAGAAGGAGAAAGCCCTGACCTAACCGCTACTAAGTCCTTGTAATGGTCGTCTGTGGCAGTTGAAGTCCAGTTGCCTTCTCCTAGGGCTCACCTGACACACCCTGTTCAGTCCTTCCTGAAACCCGTGCTGACGGAGAGTGAGAGGATGGGATGTGTTTGGACTGCTGGGATTCAAGGATCTCACACAGGATACTCTAGTGCTAATCCAGCCATCCACGTTTAAGGACAGTTGCTTCTGCCTCAGCAGCTGAATAGGGGGTTCTCAAAGCCGGCTTCCTGGCCGGTCTTACACTGTCTAGAAGGTATATATACACATCCGCTTTAAGTGTGGGCCAGCTGGGTATAGGTAGTGCAAACCAGTGATCCCAGCACTTGGGAGTCTGAGGCAAGAGGGTCAGGAGTTCAGGGTTAGCCAGTGGCCTGGCTAGCCTGTTACAATATCTAGAACAATGATTCTCAACCTATATTGGCCGCGACCCCTTTGACAGAGGTCACCTGAGACAATTGGAAATAGACTTTTTTGTTTGTTTGTTTTTTATTTTTTGAAACAGGGTTTCTCTGTGGCTTTGGAGCCTGTCCTGGAACTAGCTCTGTAGACCAGGCTGGTCTCAAACTCACAGAGATCCGCCTGCCTCTGCCTCCTAAGTGCTGGAATTAAAGGCGTGCGCCACCATCGCCCGGCTCAGACATTTATAATTCCTAACAGTAGCAAAACAACAATTATGAGTAGCAACAAAAATAATTTTATGGTTAGGGGTCACCACAACATCAGGAATTGTATTAAAGAGTCAGCATTGGGAAGGTTGAGGACCACTCTCTAGAAGGTACGTAACCAAGTCAGCTTTAAGTGCTAGACAGCTGGGTATGGTCATGCCAACCAGTGATCCCAGCACTTGGGAGTCTGAGGTAGGAGGGTCAGGAGTTCAAGGTTAGCCTGGGCTAGTTACCAAGACCCTGTCTCATTGGCGTTAGCCTGGTGGCGGGGTGTGTTAAGTAGTAGCTGGGAAAGCAATTCAGAGTACGCGAAGCTTCATCAGCCTCCCTGGTCCAGAGTAACTGCAGAAGTGGACTAGGGAGGTCTGGGAGGCTTCTGGGACAGTCTAGATTGTCCACCCAGCACATGTTCTCTGTCAGCAGGACAGCAGGTCAGGGCCACAGGCCGCAGGTGGAGCGTCTGAATACTTGTACCCTCCCTCCTCCTGTGGGATGGGAAGGGCAAAAGAAGCCATCATGGCCAAGGGCTGGACATAGAGGAAGCAGATGAGTTGGTGAAGGAGAAGCTGAGCCAAGCCCAGGACAGAACCCAGGCTCTCCAGCTCCCACTGCCTGTGCTGTCCCCGTTACACGTCATGCCACACACAGTGTTTAGATAGAGCAGAGAAGAAACAGACATCTGAATCTCTGGGGAAGGAGGCTGGGAACGGAAGACTGTTTATTCCTGGCAGCCCTGCATCCAAGGGGTCTTGCACCACTTCAGTGCGGCCCCAGACAACTCTCCCAGAGCCTGACTCACGCCCCACTGCCACTGCGGGGGCCTGAGACTGGGCCGGCTCCTGGAGGATGGGTTTGAGGCTGCTCTGCTTAGTCTCCCAGCAGTAGCCCCACCTCCACAGGACCCAGGAATGTGTGCTGTAGGGCAAACAGTGCCAGAGTTCTCAAACCTCTAGCCTTTGGGGCTGCATTTCTCCAAGGGAACTGAAGTTCGCTCTGGGAGGAGGTTGCTCTCATCTCCCTTCCGGCTATCTTGCTACAGTCTGGGCCTGTTTCAGTCCTTAAGGAGTTTGGCTGGGCTCCTCTCCTCCCCTCGGGCCTAAAGCTGTCCGAGTGCAAATCAGACAGAGCTTGGCTTCCATGCTGTGAATATGACCTTCTCTCTCTATACTTAATTTCCTCAGATTTCCTGTAGATCAAAAAAAGGCCGTTCTTTGATTTCCTAGGCTCCCTGTCTGCCTTTCTCGGCAGAGTGCTTGTGTGGAGGGACAGGTGCAGAGAGGAGCAGAAATCCTGTTGTTAGCATTTACAGGAATGAAGTACTCAAGAGCCAAGGGTTGATCTGGTTCCTGTTACCGCCTTTGCTGGAGGGGGCGGCTCTTATTTCTTTTGTTTGTTTGGTTTGTTTTGTTGGTTTGAAACAAGGTTTCACTATGTTTCTGAAGCTGGCCAGCAACTTGCTGCTACCTACGTGTCTCATCACCAGAGCTAGGATTACAAACCTGGCGTAAGGAAGTACAATTTTGAACCCCACTATGCAGATAAAGAAACAAAATTGTATCTGGCGGTGGTGGCGCATGCCTTTAATCCCTTCATTCAGGAGACAGAGGCAGGCAAATCTCTGTGAGTTTGAGGCCAGCCTGGACTACAAAGTGAGTTCCAGGACAGACTGAGCTGTTATACAGAGACACCCTGTCTCTAAATAAGTAAATAAATAAAATGGGGTGGTGGTGGCACATGCCTTTAATCCCAGCAAGAGGAAGGTGGATCTCTGGAGTTCAAAGCCATCCTGGTCTACGCAAGCTAAGAGCTAGTTCCAGTACAGGCTCCAAAGCTACAGAGAAAGCCTGTCTCAAAAAAAAAAAAAAAAAAAAGAGAGAGAAAGAAAGAAGAGCAAAACTATCGAGAGAACTTCAGCAATTTGCCCAGGTTTGCACAGCTAAAGCAGTAGGATCACCGCCAGCCCTGCCGTGCCACCCACAGCATATGCCTCTCAGCCCCATGGAGGAAGAAAAATCAGTCATTTGAGCTGACCTCCCCTCAATACTGTCAAGCATTGTGTCCACAGGTCCTGTGTTACCCCATGACATTCCCTACCACAACCCCAATAGGTGGCTTTTACTTTGGGGGGAGGGGAGAGATTGACAGCATTGAAATGGGCTCACTGTAACCCAGGCTAGCCTCAAACTATACTGATCCCCCTGCCTCAGCCTTCCAGTGTTGGGATTTACAGGCTTGAACCTCTACACCGAATCCACTTGTGCCTTATGCATAACCCAAAATTTGAGAAAACAGTTTAGGACCGGGGATGTAACTGAGTTGATAGAGTACTAACCTAATGAATGAGTCTGTGAGTTCTATAACCTGTCTGTAGTATGGTCAGCAGACACGGTGACAAAGCTATAATCCTAGCACTTAGGAGGTGGAAGCAAAAGGATCAGAAGTTCAAAGCGATACCACATAGGAGTTTGAGACCAGCCTGGGCAATATGAGACCCGTCATCTCAACAAAACAAGTTGAGAGGTGTGTAGCATGACCCATAGACTAAGGAAGACAAGGCTTAATTTCCAAGTTACAAACTTCATCTAAGCCAGGCGGTGGTGGCACGCGCCTTTAACCCCAGCCCTGGGGAGGCAGAGGCAGGCAAATCTCTGTGAGTTCAAGGTCAACGTGGTCTACAAAGTGAGTTCCAGGACAGCTAGAACTGTTACAGAGAAAGCCTGTCTCAAAAAAATAAAAATAAATCAAAATAAAAGGCTCCTCAGTGAAGATTCTCAGGTCCCAGCCCCAACCGCCATCCCCCATCCCCCATCTTGTATGCACACTATTCTTTGGTGTATGTAGCTGGCTGAGGGCGGCTGTGGCCATCCAGAGTTTAAGATACCTAACCAGCTCTATTAGCTTGGGGGTGCTGCGGGGAGGTGTTATGTGTCAGTTGTTCATTGGCTGAAATGGATTCCCCAGATGAGCCTGGCAATGACAGCAAGCGGGTTCTCAGTGGTGAGGAAAACACCTAGGTTTCACGAGGTAGCAGACTGCTAGGGAGGGTTCACTAGACAGGAGAGGAGGTCTCTCAGTAAAAGCAGTCAGCGTGTGCCAAGTCCCACCCCGGAGGCGGAGCCAAGACTGAGGCCCTCCAGCCCAGACTCCCCCATCCTTTCAGGAATCCAGACCAGGGCAGAGCCTGAGCCTGGTTCCTGCCTTCCCCAGCATAGGAGCAACAGGCAGTCATGGGCCAGGACCCCAGGCATGGCCTGAAGCCCTGAAGAGCGGCTGCTGTGACTCTGGTCCTCAGAGGAATGCCCTGCTAGCAAGCACCACCTGTTCCTAAGAGCCATGTGAGTAGCTACAACCCAGCCCCTCCGGTCTGATCCTGCAGAGGTCAGTGCAGTGGTGTAAGCCATTGGAGTACTCGGGAGACACCATTCCCACCCCACCAGGTCACTAACCTGGCTGTATATCTCCAGCTTTCTTTACTCCTAGGGAGGCCGGTGAGGGACTAAAGGGCTGCGAGCTAGGTCTCAGTAGTTTAATAGAAGTGGACGGTGTAGGGAAGGGGAGCAAACTAGAGGGCCTTTGGGGGAGACTGAGGGAGAGAAAGATCAGGAGTGCCGTTTGGGGAGCAGTTGGGATAGGAGAGCATCTCTCAGCCAAGGTAACCATAGAGCTGATGCAGGTCCTGGGAGAGGCCACTGGATGGGAGGGCAGAATCCTTCCGTATTGACTTTGATCCTAGCAACAGCAGATGCTCCCCTGTTGACAGGATCCAGGATCCAGGACCCCTCCCACTGGCCCTGGCATGTGGCCTGGGGCTGAGAATAGGCAGCCAAGTGAAAGAAAGCAACAGGGTCAATTTGGAGGCTCTGCGTTGTGCCCTGGGCTCAGCCTATGTTTAGAGGTTGGGGGGGTCATCTCTGTTCTTAGCACCCCCAACTCCTTGCCAAGCATTTCCCCACACTTCCCTCTAGTTCCCAGGAAGGGCCTGTTGCTAGTGTGGAATGAACGAGTCAAGTTTATGGGCTGGAAGTCCTACCCGGAGGCTGTTCACTGAGCTGTAACAGGGTGGGGGTGCAGGGACAGGGCACTCTGTGCCTTCAGGAGCCTCTCACACCATGGCTGTCTGGCCACTGTCCTCTCTTGGCACCCCAATGTGTGCTGGCAGAGGTTGACATGCTTTGGGTAGGTTGCCTTCCAATCCAGACAGACTTGTAAACACAGCTGCCCTGAGGCTGGAGGATGACAGAAATAGGTGAAGCTGCCCAAAGGTGGTTATCGCCTGAAGGGCAGCCTCTTATAAACTCTTGCCAGAATTGATTTTCCAAGCAAAACCAAAAGCATGTCTTCTCTATATAATTGTTTAATATATATTTTAATGTTTTATATATATATATGTTTAAGTTTCAACTGAGAAAATCTGTATCAGCAAACAGGGTATGGCCCAGTCTGAGTCTCCAGCCTCTATGTTAATGTGCTGTCCCATCCCCTCCCTCCCCCCAGGACAGTGACTACATAGCTCCAACCTAACTCTGGCCACTCCTCCATACAGGCATGCTGACTGCAGCTTCAGGCCATCCATATGCCAAGGCCCATGATGACACCCAACAACACTGGGGAGGTGGCCAGCTCCATTCCCAAGGGGGTACTGGGGATTTCCCTGGCCCTGTCAAGTCTCATCGTTGTCGCCAACCTGCTCCTGGCCCTAGGCATCGCCCTGGACCGCCACCTGCGCAGCCCACCTGCTGGCTGCTTCTTCCTAAGCCTGTTACTGGCCGGGCTACTTACGGGGCTGGCACTACCCATGCTCCCTGGGCTGTGGAGCAGGAGCCGCCGGGGCTACTGGTCCTGTCTCTTTCTCCACTTGGCCCCCAACTTCTCTTTCCTCTCCCTGCTTGCCAACCTGCTGCTCGTGCACGGGGAGCGATATGTGGCAGTGTTGCAGCCACTGCGGCCCCATGGGAGTTTGCGGCTAGCCCTGCTCCTCACCTGGGCCAGCCCCCTGCTCTTTGCCAGCCTGCCTGCTCTGGGCTGGAACCATTGGAGTCCTGGTGCCAACTGCAGCTCCCAAGCTGTCTTCCCAGCCCCCTACCTCTACCTCGAAGTCTATGGGCTCCTTTTGCCTGCTGTGGGAGCTGCTGCCCTTCTGTCTGTCCGAGTGTTGGCTACTGCCCACCGCCAGCTGCAGGAGATCTGCCGACTGGAGCGGGCAGTGTGCCGTGATACTCCTTCAACCCTGGCCAGGACTCTCACCTGGAGGCAGGCTAGAGCGCAGGCAGGAGCCACGCTGCTCTTTTTGTTGTGTTGGGGACCCTATGTGGCCACACTGCTCCTGTCAGTGCTGGCCTATGAGCGGCGCCCACCACTAGGGCCAGGAACTCTGTTATCTCTCATCTCACTGGGCAGCGCCAGTGCGGCAGCTGTGCCTGTGGCCATGGGCCTGGGCGATCAGCGCTACACAGCCCCATGGAGGGCAGCTGCCCAAAGGTGGCTGCAAGCGCTTCGAGGAAGGGCCAAGAGGGACAGTCCAGGGCCCGGCACCACTGCCTACCACCCCAGCAGCCAAAGCAGCATGGACCTGAACTTGAACTAGGGAAGCCTCCTAGGAGCATTCATCCATCTCTTATGCCCCACTTCTCTGGGTTGGAGCCCTTGCCTGATGTGGGAGTTTTTTCTTATTAATAAAGAAACTGCCTAGGCCCATTTGATAGGCCAACCCTTAGGTAGGAGGAGAAAACAGAACAGGATGTTGGGAAAAAGCTGAGTCAGGGAGTCGCCATGATTCTCCCGCTCCAGACAGACGCAGGTTAAGATCCTCCCTGGTAAGCCAGCTCATGGGCTACACAGAATATTAGAAATGGGTTAGAACAATATTTAAGAGCTAGCCAATAAGAAGCTGGAACTAGCCGGGCCAGGCAGTGTTTAATAAAATACAGTTTCCGTGTAATTATTTAGGGCATAAGCTAGCCATGCGGCCGCCCTGCCACTCCTCCTTTAACACTTGCCCATGAGACCCCACCCTGACCAAATAAATCTCTGGCTACCATTTCAAGTTATCTCCTTCCATATCTCAGTAAGGGAGAGGGGCAGGCTGACTGCCTTAGATGGACCCAGAGACGGACTGAGCACCAGAGAGCTTTCACCTCCAACTAAGCACTGTTCTGTCCAGCCGCCACAAAATGCACACGGACACTGCCTCTGGGAAGTATATTTTATTTACATTTTTAAAATCTGTAACTAGTCTCTCTTCCTCCTTTCCTTCCCCAGAGAGTTGGGAAGGGAAAGAACGGGAACCTCAAAGACCTACCCCCCACATACAAAGACGCACCCCATGGCTCACACCAGCAAATCAAAGTGAAAGAAACGTGGGCCTCCTAAAGGGCCCCAGGGCTGGACAGGAGAGGGAGGGCCTGGTAAGGTGGGTTTCAAGGGAAGAAAAGGACAAGGAGTGGGCGGGTCAGCTGAAGGGATTGGAAAGCAGTCCAACGCACTCCCCTCCTTTTCCCTCTGCACCCTGCACCTCTGCTGGGGGAGAGAGGGCAGGGGTCTCCCTTTATCCCCTCAACACCAGACACCATTCCAGAGCCGCAGCTAACGGTCAGGTCTCTGGACACAAAACACTTTTGCTTTGTGGTCTCCTGATGTTGTCACCACCAGGGAGGCATCTCTGTGGACAGAAAAGGGGGGTGAAATTATCGAAGAACCTGAGGCCCATGCCCCAGAGATCCTAATGCAGCTGCTCCAGCATCACGTCCATTCTAAGTCCCTAGCTGAGTCTGCACCTGGTTCTCAAGCCCTCCCCCGAAAGCCAGGGAGCCGACCCACTATGTCCATGGAAACTGCAAGAGAATCTATGACAGATCCAAGGGGGACAGGTTCATTCTCAGCACCCTGCCCCACAATGGGTGGGGACAGAGGACCTCAGGACTGTGACTGCACAGGTGACCTGGCATTCATTCCTTCATCCAAAGGATGAAACCAGGCATTGGGTCTGACTTCCCTTAGAAATCTCCCGTTCCCCAGGGACCTGTGCCACCCCACCCTAGACCCACTTCCTAGAGCTGCCAGCCCATCATGCTTACTTGCTGAGGGCAAAGTCCAAGATCTCAGCAGTGTGGCCCCGGTAGTCAGTAAGCAGGCGGCCAGTCCGGGCATCCCAGAGACGAACAATGCCATCCAGGCTACAGGTGTATACCACAGCAGTGCCAGCCTCCCACAGCAGCTGAACAATGCCCGACTGTCCCGGAATGGGACACAGTAACAAAGTAGGGCAAAAGTCAGGAGGGAGAGGAGAAGACACTGTCCCCACGCTCAGAAAGAGCGGGGCACAGGGCCACAGAGGACAGACTACCTCTTAGCCAGCACAACAGCCCGCTGAGTAGGAACAAAGCCCCAGACACCATACCTGGTGCTGACACTGGTGCCGGAGTGTCTGCGTGGACAGGTCGTAGATGGCCAAGGTTCCATCCAGATAGCCAACAGCAGCCAGAGGCATCCTTGGAAGCAGAAGAACAAGGAACGCTCTGGAGGCTCGAGATTTATGTACCTTCCTTCCCTCCTCCCTGGTCCTAATGACTGGGTCCCTCTGCAAAGCCATCTCCTCCCTCCGCCTCGGGTTTCCAGGCCAAGACTCTGCTCACACTCACACACTGCAGAAGCCCAAGGACTCCACGGAGTTGGACTCACTCTCCTCTCCCTCGCCCAGGCTGGGCTGGGAGGCGACTGTCTCAGGTCTGAACACACCCACCACCTACAGGTAAGAGAAGAGGGTCACGGAACTGAGGAAAAGGGCAGGAGAGGGGCACAAGGTTCAGACAGAAGGCCAAGCTACTTACCTTGCCAGTGGTAGCACTGACCAGCTTGGCCTGGCAGTCCACAGAGCCAGTGAGGATTAAGCTGCCATCCTGGTTGGTGGCAACACAGGTCAGAGGGCCCTGGTGACCCTCAGTCCCTAGGACAGAGCGGGGATACATAGGCTGAGTCCTGCACAGGCTCTCAGGCTCCCCAAGCCCAGGTCAACACCCTCCCTCCTCTGATACCTTTCAGTACATGGATGGGGCTTCCCTGCTTGAGGTCCCAAATCCTGATGGTTCCATCTTCATATCCTACCACAGCTCTCTTCCCTAAGGACCAAAGCCCAGAGGGTACACTGAGCAGGGAGAATAGAGTAGGGGTACCCAAATTCCCCTTAAAGTCACAGGGAAGCCCTAGTATGGGGCAGGCGGAGGCTGGGATGACTGGAGTACCCCGAGTCACTGGATCTACCTCTACCCCCAGGAAGAGACAGCTCTCTCACCATCAGGGAGAACGCGGCCACAGGTTGCAGGGCAGTTGGGGCCCTGGAAGGTCTTACAGTCACCATTTGGCACCTTCCACATCCAAGTGTTGCCGTCAGCAGTGCCCGCTAACAGGACAGGTGCCCGAGGGTGCCACTCCATCCACTGGGCAGAGAGGAAGGCTCAGTAACCAAGGCCTGCTACCCAGCCTGTCTAAGAATCCATGAACCCCACCCTGGTGTCCCTGCTTCTAAGGCTAGCAAGAACATTACAGGTGAACAGACACATTGCTGGAGCTGGCGTGCTGTGGTTCAAGGCGAGTGCCTCCAGTAGAGCTAGGCTTGCTCCTCCCAGCAGTGCTCATCTCTACTTGGGGTCCCCCAGAGTTGAAGCCCACTCCAAGGCTCTCACCTCCAGGTCTCCTGCTTCAAAGGACCAGACTTCTTCCTTGGTGTCCACCTGCCATACCTTCAAAAGACCACTCATGTCCCCTGTGGCCACAAGGGTGGAATCATGGCTGAAACCAGCACATGTCACAGAGTCCTTATGGCCTGCAAAGAGAAGTGGGCAGGTTTTGAGTTCAAATTTGCCCGAGAGATACAGCAAGTTCAAAGCCAGCCTTGGCTACATAGTAAATCCAAGGCCAACCCAGACTATATAACCTAAAAGAGCAGAAAGTGGCAGGAAAGGAAGAACATTAGTGGCTGCCAGGATCTGGCACGAGACAGAGGCTAGTAAACAGCTGCCGGGTGTCCACAAGCCACCTGCCAAGGTGCCCAGAGGGACACAGCCTCCCCAGCCTCTCACCTGCGCACTCGAAGAGCAGCTCCCCATCGCTGAGCCTCCACACGAAGGCCTTGTCATCTTCACCCCCAGTCACTGCCAAGGTGTTGGTTTTGGGGTCCAGGCTCACACAAAACACGGATGCTGTCCCAAGAGATAGTCCACAAGAAAGGGGATGGAACTGGGCTCTCACCTAGAATTCTGTCTTTCAGTGCAACCCTTCCCCCAAAGCCATAGGTATTCTCTCCTGGAAAGGTTATAGCCAGTTCTTGTTTGAAGCATTAGGTTGTTAGAGAAATCCCAAGTCCTCCTCCAGAGCACGTCCCCCTGCTGTTCCGTTCCCTTCACCATCCCACTCTGAGGTACAAGCCAAGAGGTGGGTCCATGTGCACAGCTAACAGCACAGGGTACCACCAGGCCGGGTGTGAAAGAAGGGATGAGAGCGTCATGGGGCGAGCTTACTAAGAGCCAGCTCCTCTGGAGTGTCACTTGCCTTCATTTCCACTAGGGCTACTTCCATTCACTTTCATGCAAGATGACTTTTGTGTTGTTGTTTTGTTTTTCGAGACAGGGTTTCTCTGTGTGGCCCTGGCTGACCTGGAACTTGTTCTGTAGACCAGGTTGGCCTCAAACTTAGAGATCCACCTGCCTCTGCCTCCCCAAGTGCTGGGATTAAAGGTGTGTGCCACCAACGCCTGGCCAAGATGGCTTCTTTTTTTTTTTTTTTAAAGAAAAGAACACCAAGATCCAGAAAGCTGACAAAGGTGATAAAGAGCAGAGGTAGGATTTGAACCTAGGTGTCTCACTTAACCCCACTGCAAAGCCTAATCCCTTTGGCCCTTCCTATGAATTTCCAGCAGGCTTTCCTATTTGTTTCTCATAATACCCTGCCCATGGTCAACGGATCATACTCAAACGTCCATCTGCACTGACCTGAGGTGATCCCCTCAAAGCCCTACCTGAGTGCAATGCAAAGGTGACCTCGCTATCATCCGGGCCCTCCATGCTGCCGACCACCCCTTCCTGGGGTTCCAGGACCCAGCCCTCATCATTGCCCTCTTCCTCTTCTTCCTCTTCCTCAAAGTCCACGTCTTCCATCTCCTGGGCCAGATCATCTGCTTTGGGAAAAGCGTTAAAAGATGGATCTCGAAAGATCTAAGAGGAATGGGGTGAGGGGTGAAGAGAGAATAGGGCGACGCTGGGGTGGGTGGTGTGGCCAAGGGTGAAGGCGTCGTCCCACACGTACCGAGCAGAAACAGAGCGCTTGGGGGGCGGAGAAGGGGAGAGAGGCTAGGTCTGAGGACCTGGCGTTGGCCAGCGACCGTGTGGGTAGAGAGGACAGAGGGCATGATGGGAAGGGGGTGTGTGAGGGGAAGGGCCAGGGGAGGCGTCAGGGAACCCCCACCCAAGCCAGGCCTCGAAACTAGTGTGGGGGGTAGGGAAGGAGGGCTGGGAAAGAAATGTCGGTAGGAACGACCGGTAGGAAAGGGGGGGAGGGGGAGAAGCGGGGTCAGAGGCCAGGGGTGAGCGCCTCCTGTCCCATGGCCTCGGGAGCGACAGTTCTCACCCGGGTCGGGCGGGCCTGGATCCAGCTCTACCACCTCAATGATCTCTTCATCTCCGTGGAAGCTTAGAGTCTCCAGCGGCGGGGTGTCAGCGGCCGCTCCGCTCTCTGATTCGGACTCCATGCGGCGAAACCTCCCGATCCACTTCTCTGGGCCCAAACGCCTCCCAGAGTCAGCTCTGCGCGACGACGCGGAACTCGAGCCCCTCCTCCCGGGAGGAAGTAGGCGTAGGTGACTCCCAGTCGAAAGAGCGACGGAATCCGGACCAATAGCGACAGAGGTGGACTGACAGAGCCGC